TGATATTTCTTTTTCTGTGCCTGACTTGTTTTGCTTAATATAATTCTCTCTAGGTTCATCCATGTTGTTGCAAATGGCAGTATTTCATCCTTTTTTATAGCAGAGGAGTATTCCATTGTGTAGAGATACCACATTTTCCGTTTCCACTCATCTGAAGATGAACATTTGGGCTGGTTCCAACTCTTAGCTATTGTAAAGAGTGCTGCAATGAACAATGGGGAACAAGTATACCTTTGACTTGATGATTTCCATTCCTCTGGGTATATTCCCAGCAGTGGGATAGCTGGGTCATGTGGTAGATCTATCTGCAATTGTTTGAGGAACCTCCATATCATTTTCCATAGAGGCTGCACCATTTTGCAGTCCCACCAGTAATGTATGAGAGATCTTTTTTCTCTGCAACGTCACCAGCATTCATCGTTCACAGTCTTTTGGATTTTAGCCATCCTAATTGGGGTGAGATGGTATCTCAGTGTGGTTTTGATTTGCATTTCCTGAATGCTGTGTGATGTTGAACATTTTTTCATATGTCTGTTGGCCATTCGTATATCTTCCTTTGAGAAATGCCTATTTAGCTCTTTTGCCCATTTTTTAATTGGGTTGCTTGTTTTTTTCTTGTAAAGTTGTTTGAGTTCTTTGTATATTCTGGATATTAATCTTTTGTCAGATATATATTTTGCAAATATTTTCTCCCACTCTGTTTGTTGTCTTTTAACTCTGTTAATTGTTTTCTGTTTTGTTTTGTTTTGTTTTGTTTGTTTGTTTTTTGCTGTGCAGAAGCTTTTTAGTTTGATATAATCCCATTTATTTTTCCTTTGGTTGCCCGTGCTTTTGGGGTCGTATTCATGAAGTCTGTGTCCAGTCCTACTTCCTGAAGTGTTTCTCCTATGTTTTCTTTAAGAAGTTTTATTGTTTCAGGGTGTATATTTAATTCTTCAATCCATTTTGAGTTTATTTTAGTATATGGTGAGAGGTATGGGTCTAGTTTCATTCTCCTGCATATGGATATCCTGTTATCCCAGTACCATTTGTTGAAGATGCAGTCTCTTCACCAGAGTATAGGCTTGGTGCCTTTGTGAAAGATCAGATGGCTGTAGGTGTGTGGGTTGATTTCCGGATTCTCTATTCGATTCCATTGATCAGTGTGTCTGTTTTTATGCCAGTACTACGCTGTTTTGGTTATGCCATGCTGTTTTGGTTATTATAGCTTTATAGTATAGTTTAAGGTCAGGGAGTGTTGTGCCTCCAGCTTCATTTTTTTTGCTCAGCATTGCTTTGGCTATGTGTGGTCTTTTGTTATTCCATATAAATGTCTGGATAGTTTTTTCCATTACTGAGAAAAATGTCATTGGAATTTTGATAGGAATTGCATTGAATTTGTATCTCCTTTGGTAATATGGACATTTTTTCAATGGTGATTCTTCCAATCCAAGAGCATGCGGTATCTTTCCATCTTTCTTGTATCCTAATTTTTTCAGCAGTGGTTTGTAGTTCTCATTATAGAGATTTTTCACATTCTTGGTTAATTCAGTTCCTAAGTATTTTAATTTGTGGTGGCTACTGTAAATGGGCAAGCTTTCTTGATTTCTTTTTCTGCATGTTCAGTATTGGAGAATAGAAATTCTACTGATTTTTTGTGTTGTTTTTGTATCCTGCTACTTTGCTGAAATCATTTTATCAACTCCAAGAGTTTTTTTGTAGAGGCTTTAGGATGTTTGATATATAGGATTATGTCATCTGCAAAGAGGGACAATTTGAATTCTGCTGTGAATCCATCTGGTCCTGGGCTTTTCTTTGTTGGGAGCCTTCTGATAACAGCTTCAATCTCCTTTATTGTTATTGGTCTGTTCAGATTTTCTACATCTTCTTGGCTCAGTTTTAGTAGCTTTTGTGTGTCCAGAAATTTATCCATTTTCTCCAGATTTTCAAATTTGTTGGCATACAGTTGTTTATAGTAGTTTTGAATGATTCCTTGTATTTCAGATGTATCAGTTGTAATATCACCTTTTTCATTTCTAATTTTTGTTATTTGGATCTTCTCCTTTTTTTAGTCATGCTAATGGTTTGTCAGTTTTATTTATCTTTTCAAAACAACAACTTTTTGACTCATTTATCTTTTGTATTGTTTTTTGGGTTTCAATTTCATTAAGTTCTGCTCTGATCTTAATGATTTCTTTCCATCTGCTAACTTTATTTTTGGATTGTTCTTGTTTTTCTAGTTCTTTAAGGTGAAGTGTTATGTTGTTCACTTGCCATCTTTCCATTCTTCTGAAGTAAGTATTTAATGTGATAAATTTCCCCCTTAGTACTGCTTTTGTAGTATCCCACAGGTTTTGGTATAATGTATCATTATTTTCATTCGTTTCAATAATTTTTTTGATTTCCTGTTTGATTTCTTCTTGGACCCATATGTCATTAAGTAGAATGCTCTGTAATTTCCCTGTGTTTGTATAGTTTCCAGGATTTCATTTTTTATTGATTCTAATTTTAATCCATTTTTGTGGTCTGAAAAAAATACATGGGATAATTCCAATTTTTTTGAATTTGTTGAGACTTGATTTGTGACCTAACATGTGACCTATCCTGGACAATGATCCATGTGCTGAGGAGAATGAATATTCTGAGGTTGTTGGATGGAATGTTTTATAGATCTCTGCCAAGTCCAATTGGTGTAGTGTGTTGTTTAGATCTTGTGTTTCTCTGCTGATTCTTTGCCTAGATGATCTGTCCAATATTGACAGTGGGGTGTTCAGGTCCCCTCCTATTATGGTATTAGTGTCTATTTCCTTCTTTAGGTCTAATAGAGTTTGTTTTATAAATCTGGCTGCTCTGACATTGGGTGTGTATATATTTATGTTATGTCTTCTTGATGGACCAATCCTTTTATCATTATGTATCGGCTCTCATTATCTCTTTTTATGGTTTTTTTTATTTTTTATTTTTTTATTTTTTAAAGATGACCGGTAAGGGGATCTTAACCCTTGACTTGGTGTTGTCAGCACCATACTCACCCAGTGAGCAAACCGGCCATCCGTATATGGGATCCCAACCCGTGGCCTTGGTGTTATCAGCACCACACTCTCCCGAGTAAGCCACAGGACGGCAGATATAAGAATAGCTACTCCAGCTCATTTTTCATTTGTTTGCATGGTAAATCTTTTTCTATCCTTTCACTCTTAGTCTATGTGAGTCTTTATGGGTGAGGTGGGTCTCTTGAAGGGAGGATAGAGTTGGGTCCTCCTTTTTAATCCAGTCAGCCAGTCTGTGTTTTTTGATTGGGGAATTTAATCTTTTTCCATTAAGAGTTGTTATTGAAAAGCATTGATTTTCTCCTAGCATTTTATTGATTTTTGTTTGGATGTCTTTAATGTCTTTTGTTCCTTTCTTTCCAATTTACTGTTTGTTTTCTGTATTTGTTGGTTCCTTGGGTTGCAGACAGCCTTTTTGTTTGTTTGTTTGTTTTCTCTTCATAGATGCCATTTTTATTATACTAGTGGGTTTTGATTTTTCTTGGATTTTTATGGCAGTCGTAGTTGTTTTTCAGGTACCAAACCCAGTATTCATTTGAGAATTTCTTGTAAGGGTGGTCGTGTGGTAGTGAACTCCTACAGTTTTTATTTGTCTGAGAAATATACTATTTGCCCTTCATTTAGGAAGGATTGCCTTGTGGGGTAGAGTATTCTTGGCTGGCAATCTCTGTCTTTTAGTATTTTGAATTTATCATCCCATTCCTTTCTGGCTTTTTGGGTTTGTGATGAAAAGTCTGATGTTACTCTGATTGGGGCTCCCTTATAGGTGATTTGACGCTTCTCTCTTGCAGCTCTTAAGATTCTCTCTTTGTCTTTGAGTTTTGCCAATTTGACTATAACCTGTCTTGGAGACCTTTTTGGGTTGAATACGTTTGGGGATCTTTGAGCTTCCTGAATCTGAAGATCTGTGTCTTTTCCAATAACTGGGAAGTTTTCTGCCACTATTTTGTTGAATATGTTTTCAATGCAATCTCCTTTTTCCTCCCCTTCTGGAATATCCATGACTCAGATATTTGAGCGCTTAAGGTTGTCCAATATCTCTCTTAGATTTTCTTCAATGCTTTTAATTCTTTGTTTGTTTGTTTGTTTTTGCCTGCCTGTGTTATCTCAAACAGCCCATCTTCAAGGTCAAAAGTTCTCTCGTCTACTTCTGTAAGCCTGCTGGTTAAACTCTCTGTCATGTTTTTTATTTCGTTGAATTCTTCAGCTCAGCAAGCTCTGCTACATTCTTTTTCAGGGCATTGATTTCCTTGTACATTTCTTCTTTCAGGTCCTGTATACTTTTCCTCATTTCATCATGTTGTCTAGCTGAGTTTTCTTGTATCTCATTCAGTTTCCTTAGAATTATCACTCGAAATTCTTTGTCAGACATTTCAATGGCTTCTTGTTCTATAGGATCTAGAGCTTGAGAGCTATTACCCTTTGCTGGTGTGCTTTCTTGTTTTTTCCTATTTCTGGTATCTTTTCTTTGATGTTTATTCATTGTGGCAGGGGGTTTCACAGTCCACAGGTTTGACACTATTGTCTGACTAAGATGTTGCTGGTGTTGCCAATTTGTTATAGCTACCTCAGTGTCTGCTCAGTTGGCCACTAGTGCCTTGTGTGTGTGACTGCATCAGGTCTTGGGCCTCTCCAGGGAGCCACCTCTCTGGTCAGCATGGACTCGGCCAGGCTGCTGGGTCATGGAGCGTTACTGTAGGGTTGTTTGGTTTCTGCAGAGCTTCCGCCTCCCCTGCTGGACGTCTCCCTGCTCCATGTGCACTTGGCTAGGCTGGGGGTGGAGTCAGGTGGTGGATGTGAGGCCTACCTGCTGGGTTGCAGGCCAGCACCACAGGGCGTGTGGTTTCTGCAGAGCTTCTGCCTCCCCTGCTGGATGTCTCCCTGCTCTGCACGCACTCAGCTGCTCTTTTTTTGGTTTTTTAATTCATTTTTTCCTCCCCCCCACTTTTTAAAAGTCTTTTCTTTCTTTCTTTCTTTCTTTCTTTCTTTCTTTCTTTCTTTCTTTCTTTCTTTCTTTTTTTTTTTAAAGAAGAGTGGTCTTATGATAAAGAGATGATTGGGAAGAAGTGGCTGGGACAGCGTGACAGAGACAAGGTAGCAGGAACTGGGAGGGGGCAGCGTCCTGGGCCCCACATCTCAAATGTCCATGATCTTAATATCACCATACTTTTCTGGTCGATAAAACAATGGGAAGCAAGGGCTGTTGCTGAAGCCTTGGTGTTCCTGGCATTTCTGTATGTCCTGCAGCAGCTGTGTGGTCAGAGGAAAGGGAACAATGAATACTCACAGGACTGCCGTGCATGGCTCTGGGGTCACTTGTCCCCCAGGCTGGTGCTGCCTCTGTCCTAGCACCCCCCTTTCCCAGAGGCTGGTGCCTGTCTCCTAGCCCTTCCAAGATGGGGCAGGGACTTCCATCTCCTTTAGGTCTCCCAGCTACTCCTGCAGCTGGCCCAACTTCTGGGACAGCTCTATCTTCACATGCTGCCCTGACTGCAGTGCACTTGTGACCTCCATGTTCTAATTGGTCTGGATGGAGAGAAGCAATCAGTAGCCATCTGATGCAGTTGGAGACCCACAGCACAGGGAAGGAGGCACAGGTACCTCATTTTATAGGTGGGGAAACTAAGGCCTAGGGGGGCAAGTGTAGAGTGCAGGCTGGCAGGGCGGGTGGCACACCAGCCTGATGAAGCCAGTCTACAGCTTAGCTACCTGCTCCTGGAGCTTGCAGGCCTGGGACAGTACATGGCTGGTGGTGGCGTGGTGGTGCTGCACATCCTCTAGCTCCTGCCTGTGCTGCTTGCCCCAGAGCCCAGCAGCCTGCCCCAGCTCCAGCAGCTGCTCCTCCTGCTCCTGGTTCAGGTGGCTCAGATCCTCACTGCCCTTTACCTGAGCCAGGAGCTGATCTGCCAAGCTCTCCAGCTACTTCTGCAGCTGCTCAGCCTCTGCCTGCAGCACCGATCTTCCTCACTGGTTCCTACTGAAGGCTCCAGGGGTGGAGGCTCAGCTGAGAAAGGAAGTGGATGACAAGGGCCTCTGGTCTCTGGAGTTGCAAAAATCTTCTCTCAACCCAAAGCTCCTAATTCAGGCTCCTCACCCCAGACCATGGCTTCCTGGCTAATCATTCCTCACACCCAGATGATGGTCAATCATTCAAACCACTTTCAAATAGAGTTCTTCATATTCTTGTGCTCAAGACAACTGTGGGTGGCTGACAATGGGCACTCCACCCTTCTTTTCAGACAGGGACACTGAGGCTCAGATGTTGAGACTTGCAGTCTGCTGGCACACACCTCTTTCTCTTCCTCCTGCCTGCTCCCAGGTCACACCAGCCCCAGCTTACCTGTCCACCTGCTCACATTAGCCAAGCAGGTCTCTGGCTCCTGGACCTGACTCAGGCCAGGCTCTTCCCTCAAAGTGTGCACCTGCCCAGAGCACAGGGGTGTGAGCCATGGAGGGAGTGGCTGCAGAATGGACAGGCTGCCACATTCCTCTCTACCCCCACCCCCATAAAACCAAAACCCTGGACTGCAGCTACTCACTTGTTGTGGCAGGAGCTTGGATGTCTTCAGCTTTTTCATCTGGAGCTGCAAGTCCACCTTCTCCATCACAAGGACCCAAAGCTTCCCCTTCAGTTGGGACTAGTGATACTTGAGGTCCTCATAGTTGTTCCTATGGCCAGAGTGGTGGAGAATGTACACAAAGAGGAACAGAAAGGACCACTTTGGTGATTAATGCACTGACTTTGACACACAATCAGAGGACCATGGAATGGGAGGGGGACCCCAGGAATCAAGAGTCACAAGTGGCAGTCCGGAGAGAGGACATGACTTGCCTGAGGCCACATGAGTCAGTGGCACAGCTGGGGCCATGGTTTGGCTCTGCACATGTCCAAACCTGTGTGTCCACCTCATCATGCTCACCTGTACCCCTCCCACCTCTCACCACATTGCCTGTGCTGAGGCCCCCCAGACCTGCCATCCACCTTCCTCCTCCTACTTGTTGTCCTCCAAGTGCAGGTGGAGAACATCTCGCTCTTTTATAAAGTCATGGTAGGACTTCTGTATTTTGCAAATACAGAAAGGTGAAGTCAGGATTCAGAAGGGAAAAGATGTAGTCAGGCACACTTACACTGACAGTAACCATTCAGCAGTAACATTTCTTCCCCTTGAATCACACTTGATATCTTTTTCTAAGCATTTCCAAGCCCATGTTCTCAGTTGGTTTTACTAAGAACTCAGTAAAGGTGGAAGAGGCAGGGAAAGAGATCTGATTTACAGCTGGCTGACAGACGCCCAGGGATATCGGGTCATGTTGTCATTGTTATGACTATCATTTCCATCGTTTGACTCTGTATTGAGTGTATCACCAGGTGCCATGCTAACAATCCACTGAATTCTCACAATCACCATAGGAAGCAGTTACTATTATCTCCATTTTGTAGATGAGAAAAAAACGTATTAGAGGTTAAGTGCTAAGATCACTTACAGCTGGGATGTGAACATCCAGGTGTAAGCCCATCTTTTCCCTTGGGAGTGGAGGCACAAACATGAGGGCAGGTGTCTGGGCTTACCCTCTCAGCCTCTTCCTGCCACGTGGAGAAGGTGGTCAGACTCCACTGCAGCTTTTTTTCCTGCTGCTCACATGAGCGCAGGCAGCTACCAGATGTTCACACTCCCCTGGAATGACAGAGGTTGAAATGGAGCCCAAATGACTCCCCCAAAGGCCTGCCAAGGCACCAGGTTGAGGAAGGAAGGGTGCCCAGATTCTCACCTGCTTTCCACCAGACCACATGGTGAGCGCTGGCCAGCGCTCTCTGTAACTGTGCCTTTTTGGACATTAAAACCTCAGTGCTCTGAATCTGAGCATTTGGGAGAAAAGCCAAACAGGTGTTAAGAGAGAAGGAAAGGAAGGTTGTCTAGGGGACATAAGGGAAGCCATACAGTTCACTCACCTGCAGTTGTTCCTGCAGGGAGTTCACCTGCTGACCCCTACCCTCCTGCTATAGGAAGAGGAAACAGAGGAGACAGAGATGCAGGGAGACAAGATGCAACAGCAAAGGACAGGACCCTGGAATGCTACCAATGGCCCAGGACAGTGATACCAGATTCTTAGGGACCTTGTGGGGCTGAGGGTGGGGTGCAGGGGGTGGTGAGCCTTCTCCAGGTTGGGAGTGGGCAAGACAAGCCTGTGGCCTCTCCATCTGAGTCTTTCCCCAAACCCATCAGCCATGGAATGAGCGAACAAAGAAATCATGTTCCTCTTTCCAGTTGATTCAGAGTTACCTGGTGCATTTTTTTTCTGTGTGGAAAGTCACAGGAAGGTGACTGAGGTTGTCCCCCTTGGCTCCATTCCCCAGACCAGGAAGTGGTGGGCAGGGGCAGGAATGGATTTTCAAGAAAAACCTCTCAGACCCTATGGGGATGCAAATTTACAAGCCCTCCTCAAACTCCCAAGGAAAGAGAATTTGGGTCTTTGTTTTTGCTCACAGCTACAGAACTGAATGACTGAATCTGGATTCTCTTTAAAGGACAACCAGGGAAACCTCTAGAAATGGAGGCTGAGAAAGGAAAGACTGCCTTTCTCCCAGCTTGTGATTCACAAGGGTGCATGCATTCACCATGAACCACACACTGTGGGATGGGATCCAGGAATGAAAAGGACAGGTAAGCTCCCTGTCCCCCTGATGTTTCAAGTGTGCCCAGAAAATTTTCATTCTTAGTGCTAAAAGGGACCTTTGATACCCTCTAATTCTATCTCAGGACACTCAAGCCCAGGCAGAAGAGGTGGCTTGTCCAAAACCAAAGACAAAGCAAAACAGGAACTAAGAGTGGGCAGGAACACGGGGCTCCTTACAACAGTCAGCCTAGTGTTTCCAGCAAAGGGACAGCCCAGGGCAAGTGTGGCAAGGACTCAAGCAGGGGTGCCTGGAGAAGAGAGACTGGGCAGACAGGGCAGCAACAGAAAGAGCCATGCTGCATGGTCTGGGAGTCCCTCTCCCTGAGACCTAGGCTCTCCTGTACTCCATTCTCCCTTGGCACCAGGGACCCCCAGCCCCTTTCTTCAGAGCCCCAAAGGGAAATGTGAGCCCAGGATTGGCAGCATGGAATCAGGGGACCCCACTAGATTCTTACCAACTTCTGGACCATGCTCCTTAGATGTTTGTTTTCTATGTATGGTGGGGCCTGTCTCATCTAGCATCGGGGCACCCAACCCACACCATGGGAGGTGTTCGAGAGGCTGGTCTGCAGGGACACTTACCTCCAGCTCCTTCATGAAAACTGAAGTCACAAAGGCTTCCCCACTGATGTGTGATGTGGGCTAGAAGAGATGAGAGCACACATGGAGACACTTTGTCTCCCTCAATGGCTGAGCCCCCCAATGTCCTTTCTTCCCTGTCAACTGGCAAAAGTATATTTCCTGCTTGACCTGGACCAGGCCCTTCTCCTGTAGCCCCTTTGTGCCCACTTCTCAAGTTCTCTCTCCCCCATCATCCACTCCCCTCCTGAGCAGCTCTCCTCTTGTATCTTTTTTTTTTTTTTTTTTTTTTTTTTTTGGTGGTGGTGGTGGTGGCCAGAACAGAGATTGAGCCCTGGACCTTGGTCTTATCAACACCATCCTGTGCTTCCGGCAGCAGGATCCAATGAGAGCCAAGCTCATGGCCCATCTTTGTGTGTACAGCTTCAAGGGAGAAGACTCAGAGAAGAGTCCTAAGTCATATCCCTAGCAGAGGGAGAGGTAGGATTCAAATCCAGACTTCTTAACCAGTCCCTGACACTTCTTCCATCATCTTTACCATTACCCCCTACTGCCCCTTGATCCCCATGTTCCCAGGAGACTGACCAGCTGAGACCCACCTCTTTAAGTGACTGGCAATCCCCAGAAGTGGTTGAATGAGGGCTACTGCCAGTTTTTATTTTGTTCTTTGCTCCTGGAGGACCACCAGGAATGTTTCTCCATTGGTAATCTCTTAACCATGAAAAGGAAAAGCAGTAATATTCAGGAGAACTATAAGCCCCTATACTTGTACCCTACTTTACAGTTTTTACAAAATATTCATACTTATACCATTGGCTTTAATGCCACCAGCAACCCTGTAAGGTATTGGAATGATTACTAAATGGCTGAAGAAATGGATTGACAACACAACTAAAAAAAGGTGACAATGGAATTTAACTTCAGTCTTCTGGGGCTTTGTCATGAATCAGCAGCTGCCAGGTCACAAAATATAAATCAGACATTGGGGTCCTCTCTCACAGAGCTGTGAGAGCTGCACACCAGTACTTCTCAAACATTTATGTCAATGTATCCTAATGGCCAAAGGCAGTGAGGGCACACCCCTAGGGATCTGGGGACCTAACAGAAAGAGGACAACCCAAGCATCATTTCAGAGAGAAGTCTATTATGATCTTACAAACCTAGGTAAATGTCACTCTTAAGTACATTAATAGGTTTTTTTCTCTCTCAAAAGAATCAAGCAAATCTGATGCTTCAGAAAGATGCCCCCTATGAATCCTGTGGCATCCCAGATTGAGATGATCTGGGCAAGATTTGAGCTGTGAAGTTCAGTTGTCCAGAATTTGTTTCACCAAAGATAAGCACATCTCCCTCCAGAGAGCACTGACTGAAAGGCACTCTTGGTCCCAGGATCCTAGGGAATTCAAATGTGACATCCAGACTCAGAAATAAATGGTAAAGTGTCTCTAGAGAGTGGAAACATGGTGAAAAACCTAACCAAACCCGTTATCCTAATTGTCACCCAGAGATATTGACAACATTTCAAGCTCACTGGTGAAGTGTAGGCTTTTCAGGTTGTCAATGTCTAAGTGAAGGGTGTAAGGGAGCCAGAAACCTCTCAGTCCTGGGTACCCTAGTCCCAAGTGTCCTTCCAAATGGAAATTTGTGCCATAGACAGAGAAACTAGAAAGGGGGTGAAAACAGGGGACTGGGTTGTTAGGTCATAGGCTGGGCTACAGGCAGTAATGACAGTGGCACCTGGTGAGAGCAGGGGCTGGGCTGCTGAGGGGGCAGGGATGGCTGAGAAGACTTTGGTGGGGGGAGTCAAGGCACAGAGGGGCAAGCCCTGCGTGCCTCAGAAGTGACAGGGTCCTGTCCCAGTCCTACCATTGGAGGAGTTTCAGGCTGGGTCCAGGGCCTGTGACCCAATATGTTATACCTTTTTCTTGGCCACAGCCAGTTTTCTCTGTTGGGTTTCCTCTGACACAGGCCACATCACTACCATCCAAGCAGTGCAGAATCATTTCCTTCAGTTAAGGGCACAGATGTGTGACTGAGCCAGAGCTCCTGGGAGTTGGTGTTGCTAGGCAACAGTGAAGTGGGCATGGCCTCAATGCTCACAGTCCATTGGTGGATGAAAATGATGAAACAAATGAGGGCATGGCCAGAATGCAGGGAAGGGTGGAGTCACTGTGAAAGCTGTGATCACTGCCCCCGCCCACCCCAGGGAGGGGCCCCCTCTGGGGAAAGGGGTAGGACTCTCACTTGGTGCCCCCCCCTGATTGTTACAGAATTCTAGGCACATGGCAGAGCAAAGAGGCTGCTCTCTAGCCCCTGCCCTGGACCCTCCTGTGCCAGTTCAACCCCTGACCCCGGGGTGTCAGACCCCAGGGCTCAGGAGGTGGATGAGGAATGGATAGTAGGGGAGAGGGTATCACATCAGCCTTTCCCCTTGGATGTCTCAAGACCAAACTGGGGGATGGCTAAGACTATAAAACTCTCAGAAGAACAAATAAGTGTAAATCTTCATGGTCTTAGATTAGGCAGTGGTTTTGTAGGCATGACATCAAAAGCACAAAGAAAAAGATGGATAAACTGAACATCATCAAAATGAAAAACTTTTGTGGTTCAAAGAATGCCATTGACAAAGTGAAAAGAAAAATGAAAGTGAAAAGAAAACCACAGAATTGGAAAAAATTTTATAAATCTTATGTCTTATAAGGAGCTTGTATCCAGAATATATAAAAAATGATTATAACTTGATAATAAAAAGATAAATATCCCATTTTTTAAAACTGACAAAAAATCTGAATACGCAGTTTTCTAAAGAAATATACAAATGGTCAATAAGCACATCAAAAGATGCTAGACATCAGTAGTCATCAGAGAAATGCAAATCAAATCCACAATGAGATATCACTTCACACCCACTACCATGGTTATAATCACAAAGATGCAACAAAACAGTGTTGCAAGGATATGGAGAAATTAAAACCTTCATACACGACTGGGAAAACTGCACAATGGTGCAGCCACTTTGGAAAAAGCCTGAAAGTTCCTCAAATGATTCAGTGTAGAGTTATCACACGATCCAGCAATTCCACTCCTAAGTATATGCCAAGAGAAAACTATGCATCCACACAAAACCTTGCATACAAATGGTCATAGCAGCATTATTCACAATAGTCCAAAAGTGGAACTAGCCAAGTGCCCATGAACTGATGAATTAATAAACAAAATGTAGGATATCCATGTAAATAAACATTACTCAGTCACAAAAAGGATAGAAGTACTGATACATGCTACAACTTCACATGAACCTCGAAAACATTATGCTAAGTGAAAGAGGCCAGTCACAAAGGACCCCATAATGTATGATACCCTTTTTATTAAATGTCCAAAATAAGGAGATTTATAGGAATATAAAGTAGATTAATGGTTGCCTAGGGTTGGAGGAGATGGAATAATTGGGGATGATGGCTAAGGGATTTAGTTTTGGAGTCATGAAAGTGTTCTACAATTGCTGTGATGATTGCAAAACTCTGAGTGTACTAAAATCCATCAAATCACACACTTTAAATGGGTGAATCGTA